TACTCAAACAAGAAGCTAGCTCAAGTATTGGTTATTCTACGACAAGTTAAAAGCGTTGCTTTTGTTAGCACTTTCCTTGAGATGTTCATAAAACTAGAAGGGTTTATAAAGCGGAGACAATTGCAATGGGTGTATCAGAAGGTGCTTTGCAAAGTTTGTTAAGAACTCTTCGAAGGTTAAATTAGGAAAATTTCAACTTTACTTGTAGGGCTTGAAATCCTGGTTGACGTAAGATCATACTATTAATTATTTCCTAATACTAATGTTAAATGTCTGGAATCAGAAATTGAAAAATTAATTTTTTGATATGAACATATTTTTTTTCCATGTATTCAATGGTTGACACTTGTCAAGATATGTCAAGGTAATGGGTATTATTTACTTATTTTGTTTTTTGTATCTGAATAATTAATTTAATTTCTTTAATATTTTTAGATAAAAAAATTCCATAGACAAACATGTTTTTTCCCATGTCAACACTGATTCAATGGTTAATATTGTCAAGGTAATAGTTATTAATATTAGATATGCTAATGAAAAAATTGGTAGCAATCAATATATAATGTTAATTAAACTAACTTCTACTTTATAAGTGTAAATTATATTGGATATTTTTATATGTAATCATCAGTTATTCTACATTATAATACAGTTTAACTTTCCACCTTATTATGAAAATTTAAATCATTCAAGAATTCCAGGAATTGAGATACTTCTAATGAGTTTCATTTATTGAGCAAGGATGGCATTGAATTTTTGGAATAAAAAGTGGTGACAAATAATAATATTCCTAATAAATTGGTGCTTTTCTTATTAATCTCCTGTAAAATAATTATATACAGATAATTAATATTTAAAAATTTTTGAAGGTATTTATCACATATATTATACATTTTGACTTATTTAAATACCTCTAAATATTTCTGAGCAGCTTTTGTTGGAGTAGTGTTTGAATTAGCTTGAAAAGTTTTATTTCTTTATCCTTCCAGCTCAAATAAAAATCAGGATTTTAGCCATTATATTTAATAGAGCAATTGAGTATATGTTTTTCTGTTTTTCCATATTCAATTTTAACTGAATATTCATCAGGTATGGGATATGAATCTGCTTTACCATTTGATTGGTGTATTTTACATTATCAGGATAATGTCCTTCATTAATAATCTCATAATTAAAATTATGCTTTGGTTTTTTATATATTATTTTTTTGCTGGAAGGATAATTATGTACTTCATGATTAATATTAATGTTAGAAGGGACATGTGAAAAGGACGGGGTGGGCGGGTGTGGCTTGAACCCATCCCCTGTCCTTTTCACGTGTCCTTTTTAAATTTTCTAAAGACCCTAAATCATTGACAAAAAATTTTATTTTCATCGAGTATGGATTCTGAAGTCATTATATCCTTATTAAATGAATTAAAAAATTTACTTTATTCAAAACCAAAATTAAATTAGGAAAAGTTTGTTATTATTAATATGAATAAAGCTTTCAGTACATAATTATTGTAAATTGTTGGTATATATAATATTTTTAATTTTTTTTTTTTGTAAAAAAAAATAGTGCAGCACATACAAAAAATTTTCAATATCACTTTTTCTAGGCGATAATTTAGATAGTATGTGAACCAAATTATCCTGAATATATATAACCAAGTGCTTTACATGGTTGAAGCAAGAAAAAAAAAATATTTACATGGATGCTCTTCAGGAAAAGTACATGTTTTTGATAATTGTTTGTCTTAAGAAAATTTTGACATATAATTTTATTAACCAATGCCACAAGTAATGATCATATGAAATCTAGAGTCTTCAATAATTCATGATGTGAGGCATAATTCGTGACGCGGAATAATTCATGATGCGAAGCATACTTCATGACGTGGGGCATAATTTGTGACGCGAGGCATAATTTGTGACGCGAGGCATAATTTGTGACGCGAGGCATAATTTGTGACACAGGACATAATGATGTGAAGAAAGCATGATTCTAAAATCAATTTTTTAAATTCTGAGGATTCCCATTGATATCTTATCAATATATAGGATTTTGAGTTAAAGACTGGCAACCTTTTGTGATGCTCTTTAGATGATTGCCACTATAGGACATTTTATTTAAATTATTGACCTAAAAATCATTACAAAAATAAATCACTTTGACTAAGTGAAAAAAAAATCAGGTTAATTAATAATAAATAGAGAAAGAAATGTTTATTTATTATCATTAATTTAATTCACTTGTAAAATAATATTATTATATAAAATAGTGTGATTTTTTTAAAAAAATTTATTTCCCAATCAGAAAAATTTCTAAAAATATGGTCCCCATATACATAACTTTGTTAGTCCAAAATTTTGTACCCCAAAATGTTACGCAAATCGGTGGATATTAATATGTTTGTGCAAATTAACTTTTATTTTTAATAAAGTTAATATTACCAATTATATTAATATTAATATTGCAAGATCAAAAAATGCATTTTGTTTAATTAAAACTATAGATAGTCAAATAACCAATTTATTTGATTAATTTCCTAATTGAGCTTAATAATAAGCATTTGTGAAACATTATTTGTTAAGATAAATAAATTTTAATTACTTTTATTCACTTAATCTGATGCTGTCCCTGATCAATAATTAGAAGTATCTCAATTTCAGGGATCTTGAATGATTTAAAATTCCACAACAAGGTAGAAAGTTAAACTGTATTCTAATGTAGAAACAACTGATGGTTGTATATCAATAACTATTACCCTGACAATATTGATATGAAAAAACTAAATGTTAAAATGATTATTTAATTTTTTTTATCAAATAATATTAATTGAGAATTAAAGAAATTAAAAAAATAAAATAAGTAAATAATACTTATTATATATCAATAACCATTACCTTGACAAGGATACATGGAAAAAATATCATCAAAAAATTTAAATTTTCAATTTCTGATTCTAGATGATATTATTATATTGATTAAGATTATGATTTATTGTTTCCTTTATAAGATCCATCAAAGAGAAACATTGCCCCATAATTAGAGAATCAATCCAGTAATGTATAATCCACCCATATAATCATATTAGTTGTAATAATAACTAGATTTTTCTTATGAATCAGAAAATTTATTAATAATCTCCAACATGTATTGAGATTCTAGTTATAAAAAAAGTAAAAAATAATTAGAAGAAGTTTTAATAAAAATTATTTTGTATTGTAAAAATTAATTTATAGTACAATTTTACCTATTATAAAGTTTATTTTGTGTTCTAAAAGTTGATTTATAATATAATCCTTACCAGCTGGTTGCAAAGAAATAAATTTGATTAGATGATGTTTTAATAAAAATTATTCTGTATTGCAAAAGTTAATAATATAATGCTTACCATTTGGTTGTTATAAAAAAATTTATTCAATTATATAATAATGTAATACTTAACCTCTGGTTATTATAAAAAAAAAATAGAAAAACAAATTATTTAATTAGATGATGTTTAATAAAAATCATTTTGTCTTGTAAAAGTTAATTTATAAAATAATGCTTACTACCTTGTTATTTAAAAAATAAAATTATTAATTAGATGATGTAAGAAAAATTATTAATTATAGCATGATAATTATTCAACTGGACTGGTTATTATAAAAAAATAAAAAATAAAATTATTAAATAATATTTTAAATCAAAATCATTTTGCGTTGTAAAAGTTAATTTATCATATAGTTATAATACTTACACCTTGGTTATTATAAAGAAATAAAAAATAAATCAATAATGTTTTAATAGAAATTAATTTGCATTGTAAAAATATTACAAGGAAATAAAAAATAAATAAACAATTATTTTTTATTTACCTGATCATTATTTTTCCTTCACTCTTTATAATACAAAAATATTGTACTTATTGTAACATCATCAGTTGATGGATTTTTTTTTTTACATTTTTGCCTGCTAAGTTCTCTCATTTATTCATGAATCATCAATTAAACAAAAATTGCTAGATTACATATTCAATAAAGACAAATGAATTTTAATTAATAAATCAAACCTTCTAAACACTTTAGTTAACAAGCCAATGCATATATTTTTAAATGTATGTATGATCTATATTTTGATTGTAGTTATTTTTCTTACTTAATATTATCAATAAATTGGTATATTTGATTTGTAAACTAATATATAAATTTGCAAAATAAAATGAATAAAATAATAAAATAGTATATAGTCAATAAAGTAATTTTTATTTTTGTAGGATGATATATTTAAATTATGGATTCATTAGAACAATTTATGGTATGGGGTATTCTCTAAAATATACTATGTACATAACAACATGAATAAATACCTATTTATTGGAATGCTAGAATCTCTAAAAAGTATTGATATTAATATTAATATTAATATTAATATTAAACAGTAGGACTTTGCCGTCTATTAATTTCATTGTGCATTACCCAATTTCTAAATTTAGTTAGAATATAATTAAATTAAAGATTACTATATTAATATAACAACAACAACAACAATAATAATATGTAGATCGGTGTACGCTAAACAAATATGGAAATTGACTACTGATAATTTCTAAAATTAGACTAGTTTAATGTTAATATTAATATTAAGGAGCAGTCGAATTTAAAACACTGGTGATCTATTACTACTACTATATATAGTAATAATAATAGTACAAAAATTAATTAAATATTACCTGATTTGGTTTTTAAAAAGAATATTTTAGGTAAAACCATTTTTATTTTGAATATTTGTGATATAAATCTATTTTTATTTTTATTAAAATTATAAATACAGGAGTTTTGAATCTCATTAATTTCTAATAAAACAAAATTTTTAATTATTACCTACAAATATATTTTTTTTAAAATAAATAAAATTTATAATTTCTCATAAAATACCTGCTTTCCTATATTCAATTTTATTATCTTCAGGATCTACAAAAATTTTCATTCTACACATTTTATTATTTTAATATAAATTTATTCAAAACATAATGTCTACAAATTTGTCTGAATTTGAAGAAAATTTCTCTGAACTTGAAAATTTTCTGTCTGAAGTTGAAACATTTGAAGGATTTCAAGATTCTAACATATTTCAAAGTTTTGTTGAAGAGGATGAAGGACTTGATGAAGAATTTGAGAATGATTATGTTGAAGATGATTACAATGAAGAAATTGAGGAAATTGGGAGTGATAAGGAATTTAATGGTAATTTTATTTAAAGGAAAATATTATATAAGAAAGGTTCTTTTATAGAATATACAGAACCTACAAAAAATGGTAATTCATTCTAGCTCAAATTTTTGTAAAACCTATGTGACATTATTGATGATGTGATGATTAAATTTGTGGGCTGGGATGATAGGAATTACAGAGTGTTTACTAATACTAACTCTAAAAGTTAATTCTTATTTGTTGCATAGGTTCTGTATATTTCATAAAAAGAACCTTTCTGTATATAATATTACCCCAACATTTAATTATTATTTTTATTAAAATAAAATAAGTTATTGACTTAATTTTTTATTTTTCAAATAGATTTTGAGGAAGACAATGAAGTAACAATCAGTAGTGATGATGATAGTGATTATTTTGAAAAATGTTCTTTAATGGTTTTTGATTTAGAAAAAGGATGTAGCATGCCTTGCACTCGATATAGTTATAGAAAGTTACAACAATGCATTGGGGTATGGGAAATTAATACAGTTAGTGTCAAGGATGCAGATAAGGAGTTAGGAAAACTTGGAGTATGTAAATATCATTTTAACTTAGATCAAACTCCCTCATATCATCCTAGTGGATTAAAACAGAAAAAATCAGTTGATCATGCAAAAATGCTATCAAAGAGATGTTTATTCTGCCATAAGATTTTTAATATTTATTCAAGGGACAATTATTGTGATTTACATTCTTGGCAAATAAGTGATAAGAAGTTCTTAACATCATGCATTTGTCAATTTACATGTCCATCTAGAATTAATGAATTTTTAAACAAAAAATCCCACAACATTGCTAATGCTTCCCCTAGATATATTTGTCAAGATTGTTGTCACAAAAATGAATGTCATATTTATAATCCACCAGGTAGAGGAAGAACATTAAAAGAATGTTCACATAAAAATGATTTGGAGCAAGTTTTAAGGAAAATTGGAAGCTGGATCACAGATGTTGCAAACTCAAACAATTTCGAAGAAAAACAAAAATTATTATCCAACATTTTGCCTTCTTTAGTAGCACATTGGAATAATAATGAAACTCCTCAAAAACCCTATCAAGAAACCCCTCCTTCACATTTTCCAAGCCCATTTTTAATCAATACAATTTTAAAACTAAAAGGTGCTGATAAATTATATGAAAAACAAAAGGGTGATTTAAATCCAAATCAATCTTTTAATTATGGAGAATCTCTAGGCAAATTTATATTAAAAAGTAGAAAACATATTAATGAGCATCAACAGCAACTTGCTAAGCCAAATTCATTAATTGAATATTACCAAGCATTTCCAAAAGTGATCACTAAGTTTTTTGATGGCCTTATTGGGGTAATATTAAACCATCATCATAGGTTGAAGCAATATAAAAGAAAATATTACAATTTAAAAACAAAAATTGATGATACAGAACAAGATCCAATGCAATTAATTAAAATTACTACCTTTTTATCATCTGTCATCATAAAAATGGCTTTTAGAAGATCTAAGATTTGGTTTACCAATTTATTTGCAAGTTTATGTAGAAGACCTCAGTTCTTAGGATCACTTCAATCAATATTACGTTCACTTCATGTAATATCACATACTGAGGATCATGAACGTCGCTTGGAAGTAAAAAGAATGGAAAAGGTTGATCCTAAATCTAGGATTATAACTGGTCCTAATGTTTGGCCATTAGCAGTTATTGATAATTTAGATACAAAGCAAAAAACATTCAAGTACAATAATTATTATAATGAAGGAAGATTATCACTCCATGTTGTACTTAGAATGTTATTTTTTTTTACTCTTCCTTCACCTATTCAAAATATTGTTGATGAGCAATCAATGATTTATCAAAAAAATAATATATTTGAATTCAATTCATTTTCTTCTAAAAACATAGAACTTTTTGAAAATATTTTTAAAAAATTGTTAAATTATCAAATTGATGGAAATTTTGATCAAGTTGATGAAGAGGAGATCCATCAAGAAATCATCAAACATATTCCAAAAGGAACATCAGTACCACCACCTAAAGTTGTGATCTTAGAGGCAGGTGGAAAGCCTGATGATGATCAAGGCATTTACGAATCAATTGAAATGTTCTTAGATGAAATTGATACAGATAAATATGGTTTTTTGGATATAGCTGCTGATGAGGCCATATTTAGAAGGATTATAAGTTACAAAAAAATTGTAAATCCTAATATTCGTATTCGTCACATTCTGGGCCAATGGCATACTAATAAAGATATGTGTAGTGTGCTCATCAACATTTTTTCAGGATATGGAATTTTTAATTTAGCAAAAGCTTTTGGTGCTAAATATTTGTCCAATTTCCAAAAAATTGTTGATTACAGGGCAACTTCAAGGCTGTTGGAATTGATTTGGGTGGCAGTAGGCATGGCTTTAAGTATTTTTACAACTAAACATGGAATATCTATTGATGAGCTTTTGATAAGTCCTCCAAATAATTTTATTAAGGTGTGGATTTTATACTGGAGATGGTCAAGTTTATTGAGGTCTCATAAATTAGGTATTAGAATAGGAAATTGGGATATGCAAATAGAAAGTTTATCAGCATTTGGTCCCTTGTTTCCTGTTGCAGGCAAAGTGAATTATGCAACATCAGTTTGTCATTTTTTAGCTATGATTGATAGTGATCATCATTTTGCTAACATTTTAAGAACTGTTGCATCAATTAATTTAACAAGACCTGACCATTATCTTGGTTTTGATGAAGCATTGGAAACCTATGGTGTTAAATTTGTTAAACAGTTTCTTACAAAAAGATTAACAGATGAAGAATCACTTAAGTTACAAATAAAATCTGTGCAGGATGAGAAAGAGCAACTCAACTCTTTTCTTTTTGAATTTGTAGATGCAAAAAAAAATTTTTCAGGGAAATCCAAGACAGACTCACTCAAGGAGCCATTGTGGAAATTAACAAATGATTTGTTAGATCTTTTTGAAAATTTTGACCCAAATACAAATCATCATTTAATTGAAATGGCACCTGAGCTAACAACTGATGGTTTTAATTCACTTTTCAAATGTTATGATGTTGGTAAAGAAAGGATGGAAACCCTATTAAATCAAGAAGTTTATGGAACTGAAAAAATAAATACAACTGGTCGTAGAGCAACAAATGTAAAAACATATAAATATGAAAAACTTGTTGAAAATTATAAAAAAAAAGGAAAAGAAAAAGTCACCAATTTAGAAGAAATGGAAGTAATTGAAGATCCTAAGTCTGATGATGATACTATTAATCTTTCTACTACAATTGAAGAAGGTGAAAGTACTAATAGGAGACAATATAGAAGAATAACAGTTGAAGAACATGCCATCCTGGATCCTCTTGTTGAAATGGATGATAAACCAACTAAGGAACAAATTAGTGATGCATGTGAGAAAACAGGATTGGGAAGAAAAAAGATTCTAGATTATGTTGGTAAAGGTAGGAAAAATAAAAATAAAGAATAATTTTAAATAGTTTATAAATAAATATAGATTTTTTTTATTTTTTATTTTATATTTTTTTGTAAATATTTGTAAATAATAAATTTTTTTATTTTATATTTTATATTTTTTGTAAATACAGTGAACCCTCCATAAGTGCACCTCTTGGGAATAGATGAGAGCAATGCATTTATGGAGGGATTCAAAGGTTTATGGTTAAATGCAAATAATTATATTGCCATGAATATTTATAATATTTATAGTTTAAAATTTTTCTTTTCCATTTTATTCCCACATAAATAATAACAATTAAAATAATTATATAATATGAGCAAGCAACAATAATATAACAATTGTCAAAAAAGGAGAAGTGAAATTGTAAAGATATTTAATATTATTATTATAAAATGCATCAATGAATTGTGATTTAAAATCAATATTAAATAACGGTATACTAGAAAGGTACAGGTACAGGGATCGACAAATTTCACCTGTACCCTGTACCTTTCAAGATTCACCACTAAATCTTGAAAAGTACAGGTGAGAGAGGTACAGGTGATATGCAAAAAATCTGAAAAAGTACAGGGAAAATCTTGGTACAGGTATGGCGCAGTCATGGTACAGGTGACCTGTACCCTGTACCTTTCAAGATTTCCTAATTAAATCTTGAAAAGTACAGGTCCAGGGAATTTTGTTGATCCCTGTACCTATCCATTTTTGGTTTTTTTTTTAAAAAATCTTGAAAAGTACAAGTAAAAAATTAATACTTTATTATTATCATTATTAATATTATACAAATAATAATTTAAATAAAAAAATTTATAAATTAATTATTATCAATATATCTTCAAAAAAAGTGGAAAGAGATCAAATCTACAAAGTAACAAAATACTATTAATATACACTACCCTCCAAAAATTATCCAGACTATGTTTTTTAATAATTACGACAAAAGTACATAAAATTTACAGTACAATTCTCGTTGCTGGACATATAAGAAATTTTCATTTAAAATCTGTTTAAATGAAATTACTAATACTAATCATGTTTCAATGGATTTTATATGTTTTCATAACATGTAACAAAGATTTTTAAAATCTGTTGAAACGCGAATTTAATTATAATCCGTTGAAACAAGGGTTATACTGTATATCATATATGGCTTAGGTTTTGGAGAACCTATGTGAAAAATCTTGTTTTTTTATCATTCTTTTATTTTTAGTTTAAAAAAAACAAACACCAGTCAAAATTTATTTTATGATGTTTTTTTTAAATTTTCAGCATTCTCATAATGTTTGATAGTGTCATGAACTGTAGACTTTGGAATATTAAGTGCCATTGTAATTTTTACAAGAGAACTACCACCTATTCTTAGATATAAAATTTTTACATTAATTTGGAATTTTTTGCCATTTTTTAAAAATCAAAAAAAATCATGAAATTTTTTTTGATCTAATCAATTTTATTGATATCAGTTTATTTTTAATAACAAAGTCTTCATGCATGACAGGAACATAAAGTTTTATTCATTTATTTATGAGGACCTAAACTACAAACTATTAAATTTTTATCGAATTTTATAATATAAAATTTTGAGAAACATAAAATTGTTAAAAATTTGCAAAGATAATCCTTGCGATTTATTTGGTGTTCGTTTTTTTTTAACTAAAAATCATAAAAGAAAGATAGTAAAATGAAATTTTATATGTAGAGTCGCCAAAACCTAAGCCATAGATGATATAAATTTTATGTACTTTAGTTATGTGGCATTTTGCGTAATTATTAAAAAACCTTGTCTAAAAATATTTAAATTAGATTGAAATTTTCTATTATTTTTTTTTATTGATCCTTTTGCTACGACGAATGTTGGTGTTAGTCTTAGTGATTTTAGGTCTAAAGAAAAGACATATATAAATGAATAATAGTAATGAATATTTGATGACATTTGGTGTTAATACAGTATATTAAGTTAAGTAAATAATACCTTTTGGATTTTTTGTTTTCTACGTCTAAATTCTTGTCAATATCCATTAAATCATTTTTTTCTTCTATTGTTATTGTTGGATTATATTCATTTTTGTCAATATCAATTATACTATTGTCACTATTATTAATTTGGAATGTTTTTTACCATTAATAATAATTTAATTAGAAAGAATAAATATGCAAAGAAGCAATTTTAATTCACCTTGTAAGTGGATGGTATTGATGAACCTTATCTGAGAAGTACTCAATCACTAAAGAAATGGAAATGGATATTAATATTAATTATCTTAGAATTGGATATTTTTGTATTTGTAAACTCACAATCTATTCCAGAATTTATTTCCTCAGGAATTTCTATATTGTAATTTGATAGTTTATTAAGAATAAGCACTGCAATAATAAAAATATTATATTAATATTATTAATTAGTGTTTTCACAAAAAAAAATTTTTTATATAGTTTATACTAACTTTTTCTATTTTCTGTATATCTAACAGAAGCACCCTCAGCTTCATCTAATAAGTAAGAAACCAACACAGTGTCAAGATGATTTCCAGCAAGATCTGATGGATAATTCGACTCCAGTTTTGCAACACCATTATCTAAATCATCATATTTATATATAGCCTTCTCTCCATTAAAAGTCCGTATTACTTTACTATAATAATGCACCCCAGTTGATGATACACTATATGCACGTCCTGTCAAGATATATTTCAAATCAAAATTGTCTCTACTATAATGGAGTTGCAAGGGAAAATCCAAATTATGGGATGAATTGTAATCGCCACCTTCCCTTTGGGCTATTTCAAAATTCAACACAGATGGCCAAGAGATAATGAACTCTTCATATTGTGATTTTCTTTGATTACACATACAAATATTTGCACGTAAATGTTGACATTGCCCATCTGGATTTACCCGACTAATTAATTGATTTTTCTGCCAAAACAAAGCAGAAACCTCTCCAATTAAACTTGGGTTGACTTCAAAGAAAGGCTTGTTAAAATCTTCTGTGCCATTTACCAGTGTTAATGGATTGAGTGGAGTTGGTGCAATACAAATGTGTCCAGAGTCACACTTCCATATTCTCAACCCAAGAATACAGAAATGTGACAATATTTTCAATGGATGATTGTCCAGTTTAATAATATTTTCAAACCAAAGAGTTAATGATCCAAATTCATTATCTTTTTGCCATCCATTTTCCAATACATGGAGGCGAACAATTTCTCTAGCACTACTATATATAGCTTTTTTGGCTGTTGAATTGTTCATGCTATCTCTAATGGTAAAGCTTGTATATAGTTTTTTAAGCCCCAATTCATTATTTGACAAGATTCCCACATTATTTGCCCACCAATCCATTCTATGCAAATAATTGTTATATAATATTTCTAATAAAGCAGTTATATAGCATGAATTTTTGTGGTGAGTGTATGATTGATAATGCTGTGGAATAATATTTTTTTTATCTTTTTTATTATTTTTTAATAATTCACTTGTTGTGTCTGGTGGGCGATAATCCTTTACTCCAGCACTTTTCTTAATGTATGACGATTTTGTTGTACCATATTTTTCAGCAACTTTCTCCCACCTCTCTGCTTCACCATACCATAAAGACAGACCTTTGCTTCAGTCAGAATAATCTAATTCTAAAGAAATTACAAACAACAAAAGGCTTTCTAAACCTATTTAAAAAAATACACAAATAGATTAATTGTTTTGTAGGTTTATTATATTTTATTTTTAATTCCGAAATTTATATACCTGTAAGTATTGATTGTTCTGTTGTTCCTGATAAGTAATATCTATGGTGCATGGATTCTTGAGCATTGGTTGTTGAAGGAAGCAAATTCGATAGCTCTTCATTCATAGGACTTAATGCACGAAAAAGCATTTTTCCTGCATCAGTATAAACCCACCACTCTAACCAGGAATTTACTCTAGGCCATTTATCTTGTATGAATTTAACATGTTGATAAAATTCTCCCTTGTTAACAATTTTTAAAAGTTTTAGCACTGTTGATTGAAATTGTGATGTTGAATCATGTTCTATTATTACATGATTTTTGCTAACCCTAGTTACAGACTGTCGGAAATGCTCCTGGCATCCCTTTAATAAAGCTTTGGCTTCATTTTCCAATGAACTTTTGTGTGCATTTA